TCACTGAGATACAGGACGATGACTACTGTACATTAGTGTAACTGCGAGAGTGTAAAAGCGAAGAAAGCAATACGCACTACACGATCGTAAAGTTTTATATTCGCAAAGACAGACACATCTCGAAATTTTTGTATTTAAAATTTAATACGAACAAATACCCCTTTTCGATGATATAATATATATTTTTTATTTTCTCGGAGTAAACTTTAATGAGTCGTTCGCACACATCGAGCTTTCCATGATCAAGGCTGTCTCAAGTCAATGTTATTAGCTTGTGTTTACAAGCCACTTTTTATGATGACCAACAGCGGTTGTCGAGATTCGCGACGTCTCTTTGACGATCATTAAAGACTGTTTCTAGAATACTCCACAAAATAATATTTGCCAAAATAATTATACAATGAAATTCAGCACGAGATGCATCAAGTGCAACAATGATTTAATGTGATGCTCTTATTGATGCTTTTTTATATCAGAATTAGTGATTCTAATAGTCGGAATTGTAGTTATCTTATTTCGGTCCAAATACAAAGATTAATTTATATATAGTATATAATATTTGTATAAAAAAGTCGTACAATTTTTTGTAATAGAAAAATTTTCCGAAAAATGATCACAATAAAAATTTTCTTTAGTAAGCTATTTAAAAATGCAAGCGTAATTAAGTAAAAGTTAGTATTTTTTATTTTATTAATTTTTTATTATAAAATAGTAATATTGATATGTTTATGAGAATTTGTAATTATACGAAAAGATCACAATATTAAATCTTTTTTGCAAATATTATTTCTTTATGTCAAAAAAACAAAAAAATCATTACATATGCAAATAAAATGCAACTTGTGAAAAAATTTCAGACAACTGGACGGTCTTCGTCTCTTTCTTTCGTTTTATTGCATGTGTGATAATATTATAAATTATAAATTATAAATAATGTAACAAATTAACAATGACATCAATATATTGCACACAAACCTCATTGCGGAAAAGATGGAATAGCATAGATTGAGACAAATATTTCGTTATTTTTCTTCAAATGTTTTATTCCATATTTTGTTTAAAACATTTTTCAAGTTAGATACTGAACTAAAAATTGCAAATTAAAGAATAAAATTTGTATTTTCAGAACAAAATGCACTAAAATTGAAATCATATAATTGATATGATTTCAATTTTTCGTAAATTTATTTTCTGAAGCATAATCTAATGTGAATCTCGGATGTGACTCATAATACTACAATATGCGGAAATCTTTCATGAGAAAGAATTATAATTTCATGCATTTTTGTTATACAGATAGCAAAATAAGTTCCAACTGTTATCGCATATTTACACTGAAAAAAAAAATAGTTGAAATAACCATAATTTCACTAAAATTTATAGTAAAAAGTTTCATTGTTTCTCAGAACCATGCGTATAGGGTTATATAACTAGTATTATAGTAGAATTTACTATAAAAAATGAGTATTCCGACTATAATTCGTTTACCATGCAAATATAGTTCAATTTATCATCGATTTTTTTCAATGTATGTTTGCGTTACTTGCAAATAGAATGTAATGTTAATATAACAATGTAAATTAATAAAATTGATTCGTTATTTAGCTCCAAGTTTAATCCAATTTTCTTAGCTTGTTTTTAATTTACGATGTCTGTTTACTTTAATTTCTTTTAAAAATGCAACTTATAATTAAAAAGTAATTTTATCTACTTCTATTTTTACTTTATATCAAAAACTTTAAATAGCGAAAAAGGAAAAAACTTATTAATAAAATTTGTACAAATAAATTGATAATGTTTTAACAGTAAAATTAACAAAATATTTTATAAATTATTAAGAAACTAAATTCCAAGCTAAAATTATATTATTATATTCTATAATATATTGAGACAATATATTAAAGATTCGAAAATAAATGCGCAATTTTATATAGCTGTAATTAATGTAACAATTATTTTTATCAGTGAATTTGGCCAACTACGCGTATTTCTTTGATTGCTATTATTTAATATCGCTACTATTTTATATAAGTAAATAATTAAATATATAATATTTTTGTAAACATTATTTATTTAATGGATACCTTGTAACACGTCCTACACAGCATTGTTATTATCACAAAGGTTAACGAATGAGATGCTACCGTATCTCCTGTTATTTATTAGATACGTTTAACTGACATATTAATATTTACATTGAAATGGAAAATTATACGTATTTCTTCGTCCTCCTGTACCATACTCAGTTATCTCCGACCTGCAAGTTGAAACGGACACAATGTCAAAAATTATAGTAACAAAAGAAAACGTGTGGCAATATTTCGAAAAAGTGTCGGATTACCAAGCAAAATGCAGAATTTGCGCACAAAAATATACTTACATCAAACCAATTTGCCATCAGCATATAAAAATATATCATGTTGAAATATTTTATTACGAAGAAGCATGTAAAGAACGAGACGAATGGATTTGCTTCAAGTACAACGATTCTTCTACCTTACAATGTCTTTTCTGTCGTCAGAATTTTCAATCTGATTTTCAATCTTTAGCATATCATTTACACCAAAAACATGTTAACGAAGTGGAGAATTACGTATTTTACGATTGGACATGGAAATATTGTACGAGAATTAGTGATTTTCAAATAAAATGTACGGTGTGTACGCAGGAATTATATATTGGTTTTCCTCGTTATTTAAATAAACATATAGTAAGTAAACATTCGGAAGAATTGAGAAATGCGCAAGAAACACGCGACATAATTCTTTCGTCAGAATCCGTTATGAATTCAAACATTATGGAAGTTAAAGAAAACATATGGAAATATTATACCAAATTGCCGAATTTTCGAACAAGATGCAAATTGCAAAATTGCAACTATGAATGTAATTATATTTCTTCTTCACACATTTTTATGCATATAGAGAACAAGCATAAAGCAATCTTTAAATGGGAGAACGAACACATCGATCAAAAACCATGGATATATTTTAAGTATTCGTTTGAATATATTTCCGATAAAGAGATACCATACTCAAAATGTCTCATGTGTGGTGAATTCTTCCTGGTTGATTGTGAATCTACAACGACACATCTGTTACAGAAGCATTCTGAGGAAGAACTAAGTAATTTTATAGATAACCCTTGGATGATGAAATATTTTAAAGTAAGTGATGACACTCCAGAGATCAAATGTACTATTTGTTGCAAAAACATAACCATTAATATTTTTCCTTTTGTGCCTAATCATATAATTGAAAATCATCCGAAAGAATTGCATTTTAATATATCTACAAAAGATATGGAAAAACTGCGCAAAAATTATATATTAAAGGATTTTCAAGCAAAATGTCAATTTTGCAACTTTCAATCTTGTTACGTCAATACAATAAACTTTACTGAACACGTGAAAAAAGAACATGAAGAAACATACAATCACGAAGCAGCACACGAACACACATATCCATGGATGTACTTCACGTATTTTACTTCATATTACTTACAATGTCGTTGCTGTGATAATGTTGTTGAGTGTATTTATGATTTTTTAATAACGCACTTGGACAATCATTCTTTTGAGTCTTTTCATAACACATTATTTCGCAAGAGTGGCTGGGAACAGAAATACTATGCACAAAGTAGTGATTTTTGAGGTGCAATGTAATATTTGTAGCAGCAAAATATCTCTTAACATTCCGTTATGGATTTCGATCGTCACATTGCAACTACACATCCGAACAGGCTGACAAGTACACAAAGACCGCATGACATAGCTGGACCCTCAGGAAGCCAACCAAACTGAAGAAAACAGGTGACAATTTGTTTTATTAATATTATTGTTAGTATTTATGTGTACAATTAATCTTTTACTTTTTTAAATCGCATTTAATTTAATAAATATGTAGTGAAAAGAGCAATAACCAGACAATTTGTTTTTCATAAATTTTAAATTATTTACATAGGTTTATCCAGAGTTTAACAATGAGAGTGATGGTAACAGCGTTCAAGTAGGACTACAATCGACGAAAGCAATCCTGATTTAAGAAATCTAAAGTACACAAGAAAAATGACTTAATTCTGAAAATAGATGATTAAAAAAACACATGATTTAAGAGGTTGATAACAATTTTTAAAAAATTGTTTTAAAACTTTTGTATTATAACATTATGTTATATTATTTATTAATTTTTGATTTTCTTGGTTAATAACACAATGATAATTTAATTACTTATCAGTTACATTCGATAATCAATTAGTTTTTTTAATGCTTACTGACATGTTTTTTGAATTATTCATTTTTAATATATTTGTATGGATTAAACTTACTTAAAGTAATTTTTAATCTTATGTTTGTTTAAAAATGTATAATTATTTGAAGATTAAAAGATAAGTTAAACTTAATTAAGTTAATTAAGATAAAAGAAGTTAATTAAAAGATAGGAATAAAAGTGAGAATAATAAGAATAATAGTAAAAAAACTTTATAAGACGTTAATAAAATTAAACATATTATATATATCATGTAAAAATATATACAAATAGTGTGCGAATACTTTCAAGTATTACAAACACCTAAAAAATTGTGCCACTCTATCATTTTTATATAATGCACATTTAAAAAGTTTTTATTTATTCGGCTAAATAACGTAATAATTGTTTGCATGCTTATTTAGTTTCTGTTACTTAAGGTTTACTTATAAAAATGACACATATTTGGAAGATTCGCGCGCATGTAATAACTTAAATTCATAATTAGAAAAATAATATTAAATAGAAACTTGGATAAATGCCATATGATAATGTGATAAAATTTATACTTATAAAATACAACTAAATAATTATATAGCAAAATTGTGTTTTAATTATATAATGCTAATATTTTGTACGCTCTTAAAAAAAATTTTTTTTTAATGTTAGACTACAAAAAATAAATTTATTTCCGTACGCAATTTAATTTAAATTACGTACGTCATTTAAAATAAATTTGTTTTTATTTTCTGTTGTGTTTTTATTTCTTTAATTTTATGTAATTAAAAATTTTTACAATTACTGTAAGTTTCAAAATATATAACATTTTTTGCAATATAAAAAAAAATCTATATTATTTTTTCTTCAATATTTCCAGTTATATTATATTTCGCTTTAAAGTACTGCAAAAATAAATTTTTCAGAAACTCACTTTCTGCGCAACATTTAATTATTTTCATTTAAAGAAAATGTGGAATAGTATTTTCAAATCCATTAAACGCTTCTCAATTCAATAGACTGCTTCGTAAACATAAACATTACTTGATTAAATTTCTCGATTATAGACGACAGCGATAGTATAATTGCATTTCGTTTATATTTGTAAAAGATAAGATCTTCTGTTTTCTAGTAAAGATCCGCGTAAGATTACACTGTAGAAAAATTTAACAAATTTGGACAAGAAAAATGTAAAAGTAAATAATTAATAGCAAAAGTCAAAAAAATCAATTTTGAAAAATTACATACTTCAATTTTCACCTGTTATTTTTGTAAACTTGCTGAAATGTTTTACAATAATGAGTTGCAGTTACGTTAAAGTTATATATTTTTATTAAAGCGCCCCAATATTAAGATGTAAATTATATATGTTACTTTGTCTATTAATCTAACTTATCTATTTTAAGGCAAAGGAGAAAAAAAGAAAAGAAAGACATAATAAATCATTATACTTATAATATTTTTACATGTTTTTAATAAAAAATTATTAATTTATGTACTTGTTACGGGTGTTACGGGTATCTCGCACGCGACGTTGAAATAAAGTGACAATATCGAAGTCATCGGCAAATTCGTTTCAATAATTTATGAAAAAAGCTGTTTGAGTAATACTATAGAAAAATAACACGATTTTTATATTTTTTCCCGACAAAAAAATTAAGAAATAAAATTTCCGTCACTTTGTTTTATACTATTCAATATTGCCAACTAAAATACATTTGTGCATAGTTAACGAATAATAATGACCGCAATGGTGAACATTTGCAAGATGCATGGAGCGAACGACTGCCGAGTCGAGGTGCGAAACGTTTGATCAACATATCACTGAAATACAGCATGATGATTACTGTACACCAATGTAACTGCGAGTAATTGAGTAAAACTATAATTAAGTAAAAGTCAGTATTTTTTACTTTATTAATTTTTTATTATAAAATAGTAATATTGATATGTTTATGAGAATTTGTAATTATACGAAAAGATCACAATATTAAATCTTTTTTGCAAATATTATTTCTTTATGTCAAAAAAACAAAAAAATCATTACATATGCAACCAATTATAAAACCATTACATATGCAAATAAAATGCAACTTGTGAAAAAATTTCAGACAACTCAACGGTCTTCGTCTCTTCTTTTCGTTTTATTACATGTGTGATAATATTATAAATTATAAATTATAAATAATGTAACAAATTAACAATGACATCAATATATTGCACACAAACCTCATTGCGGAAAAAGATGGAATAGCATAGATTGAGACAAATATTTCGTTATTTTTCTTCAAATGTTTTATTCCA